AGAAAATACAGTGAGAAAGACTATTTTGGAGATGGAAATGTAACCTTCCTAAAGAAGAAAACTAGAAGGTGTCCTAAATTATATGGGGATAAATATTGACTAGTTTTGTTACAAGTTATTATTTCTGCTGCAAATGAAGTTAGTTTTGATAAAAAAAATTGTTGAACCAATCACAAGTGAACAGAAATTATTTTTTAAACTAATGATATAACATGAAACAAAAAAGATGAGGCTATGTAGAGTCAACTTAAGATTTAACCAAACCACATAACATTTTTCTCTACAACAATTCTCAACTGAAAAAGCCATGTGAAACTCTTGTGATGTGCATGAACCCAAGCATCAAAATGCATTTTCAATGATTAGCTAAAACATGAAGGAGAAACTTACTCTATCACCTGTAATAATTGCCACAAGGAATATATAGGAGAAACCTCAAGGAATTTAAATAAAAGATTATATGAACACAAAAGGGATCTTTTACAAAACAACACATCAAATGCATTGGTTGCTCACTGTAATGAGTGACCATAATTTTGATTTAAAAAAAAATGTTACTTTAATTAAAAGAGAAATCAATTTACTGATATGAAAATGTATAGAAAGTGCTTTAATCACTAGTTTATCCACAGTAAAGTTACATTTATGTTCATACAATATTTCACCTTTCTTGGCAGATCTATTATCAGTGTGGGATATTTAATAACAAAAGTGATAAAAACAAACAAAAAGAAACTAAATGCAATTGGCTAGACTATACACTCAAAACATAAATTTTTAAAAAAATTCTCAGCATCTCATTTCCTTTGTGAACATGTGTAGTCACATCAATGTAAAGTTCACTTTAATCTGATGAAGTCCTAAATGATTAAATGTGTCACAAGAAAACTTTTTCCACTTTGTCATAGATTTCCCAAAATTGTTATGGATATATAAAAACGTATATACTGATTTCCAAATATTTATCTTATAAAAACAAATGGTAAAAATTTTACAGAAGATATTACTCAAGCTTCAGTCACTTTTACAAGCTAACTTTTATGATCATTTCTAGTTATTTTTTTAACTATTGTTCACCAAATACAAGGACCAAGAGCCACTCAAGTTAGAAGGCTATTAAATGAGGCTTTTGTAAAGGCATTCAGGGCAGTGCATATGAGGATATATATATATATATATATATATATATATGATAGATAAATCATAAAAAAATGCTGACTTTTTTTTTTATTTAGTTTTCGTTATATTTATCTAATGAAAATCCATGTTTCATTCTTATACAAATACTGCACCCGTATGTATTGAAACATTTTAATCAAAACATGACATCATTAGTAGAGATTGATAGTTTACTTAATTTTTCTTCTCACATTTAGTGATATACAATGAGGTACCCTTAGGCTCCAGTTTCTCACACTGGACGTAGAATTAGTGTTTGGTGTTGCATTTATATACAGGGTGTCCATAAAGTTCGTGTGCACTTTAAAAAATTTATAACTTTATTTGTATTTGCAATAGAAATAATTTGTAAAAATGATTAGAAAGAAGTAAATCTATATTTTTTAAGGTTTTATTGAAATTTTATTTAAGTTGTCCCCCATCATTAGCAGTACAAAGAGTAATACAATTTTGCAGTTGACGGAAAACATTTGCCAACTGATTTACAGTAATGCCTGAAATCACATTAGTTATTTTAGCTATACTTAAAACTAGGTACATTAAATTTTATAGCATTTTTTTTACAGATTATTTCTATCGCAAATATGAATAAAGTTATAAATTTTTTAAAGGTTACACGAACTTTATGGTTACCCTGTATATTTTTCTAAGTAATATGTTATTTGTACACGTACAGAAAGTACAAAACATTTTTACATGAAATGTTAATTTTGCCACTTAAAAATCTATGTGACCATTTTATGACTACCTGTATCTTATGTACACAAAATTTATTAAATTTTATATAAAACTACTTTCTGAGTAGATGTTATTTATATAAAACTACCTTTAAAAAAAACCCAAAAAACAAAACAAAAAAAAAAAAAAAAACTGAAGCACTTCTGGATCTAAGAATTTCGGATGAAGGATTCTCAACCTGTACTCTGTAAAAATGAAGAGAGACATTCAGGTACTATAACAGATATTGGCACAGAATGTGGAACCAGAGAGCAGAATTCAAATTCTAGTGTAGTCTGTTGTATTCACCTTTGCAAAAATATCCTTGGGATGGGTATTAATCCATTTATTCTCAACTCCCCCAGCTATGGGTTAAATAGCATAGAGACTGGATTCTCTAGTCTTGGGTGGTAACCAGTATAAGAGAAAAAAATTCCAACACATGGAGATGGCAACATGAAACCACTTTACGATCTCTCAAGAAGTTATTCACAGATAATAAAGAAAGGAATCTGTGGAGAGCCATCATTGTCTACATCCTGAAGGAAGATGACATAAAAAAAAAAAAAAAAAAAAAGAGTCTGAAGGAATCTTTAGAAGAAAGAAAGAAAAAGGAATAAAAATAAATATAAAAGGAGACTGATGATTCTGAAAGCAAGTATCTTATAGAGATGCTGAAACTTAACTTACCTCCCTAAGTGCATATTTCTATTTTACAGGTCTATTCCAAAACTTCCTACTCTTTGTAGCTCTTAGTAAATTTTGTCTTTTTTGTTATCTGTCTCAACATTTTATCATTCCATTCGCCCAAATCTACCCTGTAAACATCAGCTCTTAATGTTCAACCAGCTGTAACCTGCTCCATTTATATTCTGCCATAATATACGACAAAAATCATCAAAAATAATGCAGGAAGTCACACAAGCAGTCAGACTTTGAGAACCAATATTTATGGGGGTAGATATGAGGATGTTGAATGCTAAAGGGTTAAACCCTAACCCTGCCATCCATTCACACAAGCTCATTTGCTAGGTTATGCACAGTTTTCCACTGTTCACTTTGCCTTCAAGTCCTGTGAGTGTCAAATTTTCCAACCTCTCTTTCCTCATTATGCAACTTAGAAATTTCAAATTATGATGTTACAGTGATATTTAATACCCTTGCATAATGTTTGTTAATATTTCTAGCATTGCTGGTGGTGGTGGTGGGTGCAATAACGTACAAACCATTAAGGGTCCATAGAGGCAATTTCTGTCCCTCGTTCATGCACGCGTAGGGTCCCACTTTAAAACACAACCTTGTATCATATTTGAGTTGGCGTACGAATAAATAGTACCTGATTACAAATACAAAAAAAAAAAAAATCTGTTGCTACGTAATCACACCAATGGAGAAACCTGCCTACTAGGCCTTGAAAATCAACTTTTTAACCATGGCTATTACCGGGGCTTGTGAACATCGTCCACAGGTACCTGTGGCAGATATACGCAATTATCTTTAAAAAAAAAAAAAAATAAAAAAATAAAAAAATAAAGGGTAATAAAAATAATTCTCTAACAGAGAACTCGAAAATCTTCATCGAACAGTAGATCACCCAACTTTCTGAGAAACAAGGTAGACAAGTCGCCGTGAACTTTGAACTTGAAATGTATAATAAATAAATAAAAGTATTCTTTTTTTTTTTTTTTAAATACAAAAATGGCAGTTGGAGATTCTTAAAAAAAAAAAAAAAAAAAAAAAAAAAAAAAAATAAAATACAAATTGGGATATGGGGGGGGGCACTTGGGGATCAAGTTACGTAAAAAAGTGTGTGGAAGGGGGGGGATGCAGAGAGAATTTTTAATTTTTCTACTTCACCTAGAGTAGACTATTTATAAAACTTTCAGAAATGATTTAAAAAAAGAAAAAAAAAAAAAAGATTAAATAAAAAAATATTACGTACTAAAAATTTAACAAATCATACTTCCCAAGCCTATGAATGTATGTCTGTTTGTGTGTGTGTGGGGGGGTTCAACCTAGATTCACCCACGCTTCGTAAAATAGCCAATGCGTGAAAAAAGAGTTTTACTTTTTTCTTTACACAACTTTGAAATAAATTTACTTGCAAAATTCTAGACACGTGCGAGAAACATTTGTATCTTAAATTTTTATTTAAGAAAACGAAAATGTTTACCTTGCTTGCTCCAAGACAAAAAGCAACATAACTCCTCACAAAAATGATCCCTTTTTTTAGTTTAATTTTTTAAATTTAATCTGTACCTAAAAACCTAGAATAATACAAAGTATAGCAAAGAAAAAACTAAATGAAATCGGTTATTCAAAACAAATTAAAAGAACAGGTTTTATGCGGATATTAAAAAAATAAAAATAAAGTAACAAAATAATCAACAACAAAAAAGGGTCAGCAAATTAAATTTTTCATTTAAAAAATCCATTTTATTTTTCACTTTGCAAAATGATATCAAGTGTTATATAATCTTTTTTTAATCAACTAAACTAAAAATGTCAATTATGAATTTTCCCAAGTTCTGTTAACAGTTTTACTTTTATTACACTTTTAAAAAAAGTAATTAAGGGCAACAATCAATGTTTGTTTATTTGGGGAGACAATCAACTCATGGTATGTAAAGTAAGCAATTGTGGAAAAAAAAAAAAACATATCTCATATTGGGAATAGAATTTTTGAAATTTTATAACAACGTACAATGACAATTTTTTTGAAATCGTTGAAAAAAAAAAAAAAAAAAAAAAAAATCATCAATGATAATTTGTTTTTAAAAGGCGGGGGAGTTATAGAAATTAATAATGAGTATGAGAAATAACTACATTCTGAGGAGTTTTTTTCTGCTCATATCGAAATTCAGTGAAATGTATTTTTTTCTGTGATCTCAACGTAAAAACGAATTGCTTAGTGTTAAAAAATTATGAAGGTTTACGTGTGCCAAAATATAATGACCCCTAAACAGGATAAGGGGTCACTCGTGTAATATTTTCCAGCGTAGGTATTTCTATGTGTATTTAAGGAAAAAAAGTCTTTTTTCTTTAATATAATCAACAGTTTTGCCTAAAGTCGTATGAGACGATATAATTATCTTGAAACTTACCCCAGATATTAATTAATACGCCAGTTGTGACAGTTGCCCAGCCACCAAGCAGAAGTAAACCATATTTCCAAGCATTTCTTCCGGACCATTTTGAGTCCTTTTCTTTTTTATCCCCTGACGATTGGTCACTTTGTCCATCTTTGACAGGGGTCGTAGAAGCAGGGACTGCTTCTTTCATTTTTGAACTTAAAATTCCACTGGTCAGTGAGCCGAGGTCGGCAACATTGTTACCAGTGACTTTTTTTCCTAAGTCCGATTCCCTTTGACTTGTCGTACTGTACGGCCGGCCCACACGGGCCATTTGTACGTAAAATGTTCGAAATCCTAGGGTGGGGGTTATAATTTTTTTGCCTGTCCATGCCCATCGACAGTCGGCAGTGAAACGACGAATCACTTGAGGACAACATGAGTTTATCCTTCGTGAAAGACACATGCACCTTGTGAAGGCCGCCATGTTAGTATAGACCGGGAAAGGAATTCTGGGTAAATTATCTCCCTTGACAAAAGTAAAACTCTTTGAATTTCAGGTCGAAATGGCTTTTAAAAAATAATTTTGAAACTTTTTTAATCTGTTTATTCTTTCATTAAAAATATCGTTGTTTATTTTATTCGATTTCTGCATTTCCTTTTTTTTTGTTTTATTTTGAAGGCATAAAAAAAATCACTTACCATACAGTAAAATTAATAATATCTTACTTTCAAGGACACTGCTTTCAGGCCAAGAAAATTCAAGAATTGACAATAACTTTAAAAAAAATATTTCCATAATCAAAATTTCGGTAATCATTTAAGGCTTAAATTTTGGTTTAAATTCTTTTATTACACTATATATATATGTAAATTAAATGCATAAGTGTATGTGTGAATTAAAAAATAAAAATTACAGCTATTAATACGAGTAATTAAATTAATGTATATGAAATTTCTGCTAATAAAGTGCTCAATATAAGACAAGAATGATAATAATTATTAAACTAGGAATAACAATGTTACTAATACTTATTGAAGTTTAAGACAAGAATGATTATTATTATTAAATTAATGCCTAATACTGATAGAAGATTGACTCAGAGTTTCGCAATTTTGTAATCACTCATCAGGACACTTGACAAGAATACACACACACACACACACACACACACACACACACACACACACACACACCTACACTCCCATATATATATATATATATATATAGGATTAATACAAATAAAATTTGTTACTTACCTAACTGATGTTTGATATTCTGTTTCATGCTTGAAAGCAATCTTCAGGCCATATAAGATGAAACAGCCTGTCTCTGCTTGTCCACTTATATATATATATATATATATATATATATATATATATATATATATTAATAAATATAATTTTTTCTTTATCCCTAGCAGTAAATACTTATATTTGTATATTTAAATTATTATTCTACCTTTGTAACTTGAAGTCAGTAGTTTGTGTGGATGTGTATGTTATTACATATTTTCTTTTTTTTTCCTTTTTTTAAATACAAAAAAAAATTGTTTGTTTTTTAACAACAATCCCCGAAAAAAGGAATGCCTAACCATTACAATAATTTGATATATTTAACATAAAACATGCTACTGGTGAGGAAAGAAATGTGTATTTCTTAATGTATAATTTATAGATCTGTTACACTATATTATTAACACCAGCACTCTATGTGCTATATATATATATATATATATATATATATATATGAGACAAGATGCTTTGATTAAGTTTTTTAAATAATATTTCATGTGATCTTATAATTTTTTTCTTTTCAGTAGATAAATTATATAAAAACTTTCCAAACGTTGCTTTTGACAATTGCATTGAAAATATATTAACTGTTAACTAGAAATAGATTGTTGTATGTATGTATTTATATAATGTTTCATTTTCAAAACATGGTCAAAATATTGTGTCCATGTTCATAGTTGATATTATTGGCACAATATCTTGACAGTGTTTTGAAAATGGAACATTGTATAAATACATACATACAAAAATCTATTTCTGGTTAATAGTTAATATATTTTAACTTTGAAAATGGCTTAATGTATAGCTGAAAGTTCTTGGAAAAAAACAACATTTGAACATTTTTTATATAATTTATCTACTGAAAAGAAAAAAGATCACATGAAAAATTATATAAAAAAACTTAATCAAAGCATCTTGTCTGTCATATCGAGCATGAAAAAGAAGAATATATATATATATGAAATATATAATAAAATATATATATATATATATATATATATATATATATATATACTTTTTTAAAATATATATATATATATATATATATATATATATATATATATATATATATATTTTAAATATATATATATATATATATTTTAAAAAAGTTAAAAGCTCTAAATTTTATTTTTTATTTTATTTTTTCATACATGTTTTGAGTACTTTTTAATACTACTGTTTCCTGGTCTGATTCAACTCTGATCATTAATGTTCTATGAATTATATATATATATATATATATATATATATATATATATACTTTAAATAAATATATATATATATATATATATTTTAAAAAGTTAAAAGCTCTAAATTTTATTTTTTATTTTATTTTTTTCATACGTGTTTTTGAGTACTTTTCTAATACTACTGTTTCTGGTCTGATTCAACTCTGATCATTAATGTTCTATGAAATTATATATATATATATATATATATATATATATATATATATATATATATATAATTTAAAAAAATATATATATATATATATATACTTTTAAAAAGTTAAAAGCTCTAAATTTTATTTTTTATTTTATTTTTTTTCATATATATATTTGAGTACTTTTCTAATACTACTGTTTCTGGTCTGATTCAACTCTGATCATTAATGTTCTATGAATTATATATATATATATATATATATATATATATATTATATATATATATATATATATATATATATACTAGTGGGGGATACCTGTCATTGTTCAGAAGATCTATGATAATTGTTTATTACTGACAATTTATTTATATTTTTCAGCCACCTTATGGAAAATAATTGTTTATTCAGTCTTTAAAAAATAAACCTCATTGTTTATTCAGTTTGTTACAAAATAACTAAATTTAGGAAAATATCACACTACCAATACCATGCTCAGGGAGGGGCTTAGGGGCTGATCATCCCCATATTTTTATTAAAAAAGACACCTTAATTTAAATAAAATATAGTTAAATTCATAAAACAAATATTCATCACAATTAATGTTGACCGAAACATGCCTGCCTCTTCTAATTTTTATTTAACTTATTTTTTTTTCTTTTCAAATACAAATATATCTTGAAATTTAAACATAAACACTTTTGTAACACTCTGTATATTGATAACAACTGTAGCGACAGTCAAAAGTATACGGAAGTATATACTATAAATAGAAGATGCTATAAATAAAAGATACTATAAATAGAAGATACTATAAATAAAAGATACTATAAATAATATATAAATAAATAAAAGATACTATAAATAAAAGATACTATAAATAAACTATGGATAGTTTGTCTTAAGGTCCTTGAAAATATCCAGAGACGGATATGCAATGTGATTGACCCTGATCTGGCATCTCGTTTACAGTCGCTTTCTCACTGATGTGTCATCACTTTCCTATGTCTTTTCTACAAATACTTTCACGGTAATTGCTCTGATGAGCTACTTTTGATGGTTCCAAACTGCTTGAATTTAAACATTCTACTAGGCTGGCATCTCAGTCCCACCTTTTCTCTATCAAAATGGTTAAATGTAATCGTCTCTTCTACTCCAATAGCTTCATGTTTCACACTTTAAGTCTGTGAAACACCCTTCCTCTTATTTGCTTCCTTGATAATCTCCAAATATTCAAATGCAATTTCAAGCAACATCTTCAGATGCCTTGATCTATTCCACATCCTTCTCCTCATCCTTGTAATCCTTTGTGTGCTAGTGGCAATCCCGCCTTGCTTGGGATGAAAGGCTTAAAAAAAAAATTCTGGTTAATAAATCAATCCTTTGAAAATAAATATTTAACACTTTCCAACCAATGAACAATAAACAACATGCTTTGTGATCCCTTTGAAGAGTATTTAAGCAAAGCTTCTAGACCAGACAAGCCAGTAAAGAAAAAGTAATGGCAACAGTGCATGACACAGCTTGACTTAAAAGAGATTCTCTTGCTCATTCACCTGTCTTCCTTGTCAAGCTATGTGACACTTACTCTCTTTCTCACCAAGCTACATGACATACTTTTTTCCTCATTTTCTCCTTTGCCTCTCTTTTTGACACATGTATGTGAAGAAATTCTTTTCACCTTAACAAATGACTATAAACAAAGAATTTTAACACAAGAACTCTTTGACACTCATACATGCTGAGAAAAATTTACCTCTAAAAACACGAAAATAAAAAATATTTTATATTTTTACATTTAAAAACCTTTCTCACCTTTTTCTTCATAGTGTGTTTATTCAAATTTGCAAAAGTATAATAACAGAGTTAAAATTTATACATTTTGTTCCTTACCATGATACATATAGATATACATATATAAATATATATTACTAATAAATAATAATATATAATGATAATTAATAATAAAAACAATGAAGCCAATTCTCAGTAATATCAACTGAACATGGTCAAAATGTGCTGACCATGTTTGGAAATGAAAAAAGACATCCTTGATAATGGCTAACAGATTAGCCAAAACTACTTGGATCCATAGAACATTTAGACAGTTTTTACACATTCTATGTTTAGAAAAGAAAATACTTGTATGAATGCACAAAAAATTTAATAATAAGCTTAATTGTCTTGTAAGTCAATTTCAATGAAATATGTATAAAACAGGGATTGCTGCCCAAATACAAAGTTATATTAATTAATTAATTAATTAATTAATTATTAACACATACATACATGTAGTGCATATATGTATATGCAAATAACTACATATGCACACAAACACCATAGGCCAAAAGTTTGTGGCCACTCTGTGGATTTAAAAGAATTGCCTAAAAATTGAAGATTCTGTGCCTTTTTCACAACTAATTTACTATCTCCCTTCAGGCCAGAGAAATTTTAATTTCCTGAAGGGTTTTATCATATATTTAAATTAACCCATTATTGTATGAAGTTTCCCTTAAATTTAACGTCTTTTG